GGGAAGCGGAAGACGTCGCCGTCGAAGGTCTTGTAGTGGAAGTCGCCCCAGGCGCTGCACACGCGCCCGTTGTGCGCGGGGTTCCGGGCTGTGGGCCAAGGCGGGCCTGAGGGTGCTGCCCTGCGCCCCGAGCCTGGGACGCGGCTGCCCGGGGCCTGGGCGGCTGGGGAGGAGCTGCCTGGACCCAGACCGTCCTGGGAACACAGACCCCCTCCAGGACTTACTCCTCATCCACCTGGGCAGCGGGACCCCTTTTAGCCACCCCCCTGCCCAGCCTCACAGACCCTCTCTCACCTCGCACCACCAGGGCTGTCCTCAGAGGGGGCAAGATGGTCATCACATGGAGTGGGTGGCCTGCGGGAATGCGGCACCGTGTCAGGCTGCCCACAAGCACGGCTGTGGCCGGAGTCGGGCGTCTCTGCCGCCCTCGCCAAGCCTGCCGGCACCACTCCCAGCCTGGAGCTGGACGTCAGGTCCACGGGGGCAGCCGAGGCTCCTGTAGGCCAGTGGCCTTCCCTCTGGGCCGCCCCGAGGGGCTGTGAGCTCTCTGGCCCGGAACTCTGCCCAGAACTCGTCCCTGGTGCCCAGAGTCTCAGAAATGCCCGAGTCAGCACCAGGTGCCCAGGACGACCCCTTGGGCGCTGAGGCCAGGCACGGACGAGCCTCCCTCTGAGCCCAGTTTGGGGGAATGACTCTCTCCCAGGGCAGCACGCCCAGCATGGCGGCACAGGAATCCCCAGAGAGGCCACCCGCCAGCCTCCCGCCCCAGGCTAAGGGGACGCGTATGTGGCTAAGGGATCAGGACTTATGCGGAGACAGGAGGACGTCGCTGTGAGCTCGGGCCTCTAGCCTGTCCTCCTGTCTGAAGCCGCCACGGGGACACAAGCAGCCTTCGGGGGCCCCCAGGTGACCGACCGGGGCTGTGTGTGGGGGTGTCCTCCAGCCCCCCAAGTTCTGGCCCCGAGGGAGTGGGGCAGGGCAGCCCTGACAGGTGGGGGTCGACTCACCACCAAGCTCCTGGGGGACGGAAAGGTCTGGGGACTTGTGGCCATGTTCCACAGAGCCATCCTGGGCCTGGCCTATGGGAAGAAGAGAGGACACTGGGCCTGAGCCAGGCGGGCAGGGCACAGAGAGAGGGACGGGCGGACGGAAGGGCCCAGAACAGGTGGGGGTTCTCTCTTCTCAGGGCTGGGGTTGTGGGGAGGGTCTCTGCCCATGCTGCCCACGTCAGGCCCATGAGCTTCTATAGGCATTCCTTCAGCTTGGCCCCACGAGCACTTGGGGGTCCCCTGGCCCTGACGTGGCATTCATTCATTCACTATTCCTTCATTCACACTGAGTATCTCCCTGCTTGGGACATAAAGAGCAAGCTGCATGGCAGCCTGTGGAGGGACCAGACGGTAAAAGCTATGGGTCGGCTGAGTGTGCCAGGAGACAACCAGGGCCCTGGGGGAGAATTTGGGGCAGACTGGGGGATGCGGAGCCGAGTGGGGTGAGGCTGCCCGGCCCAGGCCCTGACCCTGCAGGCACAGTCTCTGCTCATCCCTGACACAGATGCCCCGGGAGGGCCCAGCAAGGGCTGGCCCTGCACGCGCAGTGGCAGGAGGCCGGGGACTGCAGGGTGCGGGCGCGTGGGGTGCCATGTTGTGGTGCCCACGGTGCTGAGGGCCTCGGGAACGTTGCCCCCTTGCCCCGGGCAGCTCCTCTGGGAGCACCCTGTCACCCAGCACCTGTCCAGGACCCAGCTATCCCCTGGGACGCAGAGGCCACAAGGTGCAGACCTGGGTGGGAGGGGGCCTCAGAGGGTCCAAGAGCCTCTCCCCAGCATCCTCACGGTGTGGACCTCACGATCACGCCCGCCCCCCACGGCTGAGGCCCCCTGGAAACCCCTCTCAAGGCCCAGATGTGGAAAACAAGCTGGTGGACTGGGGCCGTGTGGTGAGGGGGCTCCCAGGGACAGGTGGGCAGCTCTGCCAGGCTGCAGGGCCCCAAGGACCTGCTCAGAGCAGGGGGCAGAGGCAGCGAGCAGCAGGAAATCACACATGGATGGACAGGAAGACAGACGAGGGGCTCGGAGACGCTGGGTTCCTGCTTCCCCACCTCAGGGGCCCCTGCCCCCACGTGGACCCCCGCGGCCCCTGAGAGCTCCCCAACCCCACAAGCTGGCAACTGCAAGACAGCGAGGGCCAGAGCCCAGGGCCAAGGGGCCGGGAGCCACTCTCAGCTTCCCTGGAGCCCAGGGTAAGACCTCGGAGTTGCCTGCTGCCCTCCCGGGCCTAGAGCCCCCCCGGATGTAGGGGAACCCCGGAAAGCCGCTCAGTGGGAGCCTTACCTGTGTGCTGGGCACAGGCCAGGGTGAGGGCCAGGGCCCAGAGTGGGGCCAGCTTCCTCCAGCCGACACCCATCCTACGGAGGGAGGGGAGAAGTCCCCAGGGGCAGCATCTGAGGAAGGACCTGAGTGGGCAGGAGCCTTTTGTAGCCCCAAGAGCTGGCTCCGGCCCAGTAGCTTCACGTGGGTGGGCGGGACAGGGCCTGCCATTCCCCTCACTCAGGCAAACAGTGGGCACTCACTCTCGGCTGGCCAGCAGCCGGAGCCAGGCAGAGATGGGCGTAGCTGCCAGGTGGGGCCTGGTTTCCTGAGGGCTCCCCAGTCCTGGCCTGCAGGGATCCTCCTGCCATGCCCCTCACTCCTGCAGCTTCCTTAGGCATGCTTCTGTGAAGCCGGACCCCACAGACTTCCTGGGGCTGATGGGGCTGCCAGGGCCCCACCCTCTCTGAAGAGGGGCTCAGGGGGCAGCACCCTCAGCAACAGGACCCTGCCCCACAGTGCAGCCCCCGGCTTGGTACCGCCTCGGACCTCGACTGGGCTTCTGGCTCCTGGCTCCAGGCATGCAGTGGGCAGCCCCGGGCCAGCTTGAGTCACACGTGGCCTCATGGCCACGAGGGGTGGAAGTGGCCAGACCCACTGGGCCGGGGAGCTGCCGAGGGGCTTACCCCAGAAATCATCCCAGCAGGTGGACTGAGATGGCCCGGCCCCAGACCGTGGGTGTATGGGCGTCGGGTCCTTTTGGGGTGCTGTGTACCGGGGCTGAGCTCTCCCCCACAAGGCAGCCACACGCCCCACAGACCAGCAGTACCACTGACGATGTGGTGGCAAAGGCAGTGGGAGTGGCTGGGCTGGGCCCCTCTGAGCATCTCTTTCCTATTCAGGGGGGCCCATCCCAAGGGCCTTATACTTGCCTGGTTTTCGGTCTCTGAGTCGTCCTCTCCCCAGGCCCTGACTTGGCCCTGGTGCCTGTGAGAGAGAGAGAGCACCGCGTGCAGTGGCGGATTGGGGGGGATCGTGGGGGATCGTGGGGGATCGTGGGGGATCGTGGGGGATCATGTGGAATCATGGGGGGACCGTGGGAGATCATGGGGGATCTGTGGGATCATGGGGAATCATAGGGGATCGTGGGGGATCGTGGGGGATCGTGGGAGATCGTGGGGGATCGTGGGAGATCGTGGGGGGATCATGGGGGATCGTGGGGGATCATGTAGGATCGTGGGGGATCGTGGGAGATCATGGGGGATAGTGTGGGATCGTGGGGGAGCAGCAGCAGAAGGTTGACGGGGTGAGTGAGTGCGGCCCCCAGCTGGCTGGTGCTTCGGCCCTTCTGACCCCCACCAGGGTCCCCTGCTCGGCCTTGGAGCTGGACACCAGGTCACCTGCGGCTGAGCAGGGCAGTGAGGTCCCCAGGGACAGGCAGGATGGACGGATCTGGCCCAAAGCGCTGTGAGGCTTTGGACAGGACAGTGAACAGTGGTAACCGGGGCCATGGGTGAGGCCTCGAGGGTCTGTGGGAGGCGGCCAGGACCCTGGCTGAAGGGAGTGTGAGGGACAGACACCCCCCCCAAGCAGGGAGGCACAGGCCCAGCAGTGTCCCTGCTGCTGACACTGGACTCAAGCCGGGGTTCACACGCGACCCTTTGCTCCTCTCTGCTGGGGGACACGCCCTGCATGCACAAGTCTGGGCCACCGGGCAGCTGCTGACCGCCCAGAGCTGGCTGCCCAGGTGCTTCCAGGCCACCAGAGGTCCCTGCCTTGGGTTAAAGTCCCTTCCCAGGCTCATCCCCCTCTGTCTCCCATAAGGTGCTGCCTGGGGCCGCTGCCGGGGTCCAAGACCACTGCTGGGATCCACTACAGCCTGGCTGCTCTGGGCTTCCTCCTGGGGCCCGACCTGAACGACAGGACCCCGGCTACCGGGCACTTTCCCATCCTCTGAAAACCCAACCCAGGCAGGACACCCTGGGAGGCCCCAGGCCTGGCGCCTGCTCATGTCTCAGCTTTTGGGGCTCTTGAGGGACCCCTGGGGAGGGCACTGGAGTCGGGGCAGGTGTGGGACTGGCCACCTAGCCTCAAACATCGGGGTCCTTCTTCTCTGTGACCTTGTGCCCCTGGGGTGGGCTGAGGGTAAGCATGTGGCCTTCTGAGCGTCCAGTGCTTGGCCAGCCCACTCCCAACATCGTCCACTTGGTGGCCATGCACAGAGCCAAGGTCAAGACTATGGAGGGGGCTGTGAAAGGATGAGGGGCTGGGGGTCCCCTGGAGCAGCTCGGCAGTGACTACATCCTCCTGCCCCTTCTCAGGGGGCTTCATGCTCAGGGAGGGGTGGTGCGGGGGCGGGGCAAGGCTGGGGCTAGTCGTGGCCTCCCTGAGCCTCCGTTCCTTCATCTGAGGACAGGGTGCATGGGAATCTTGGCAGGCAGTGGGTCACACGAGGAGAGTGCCGTGCACAGGGAACAGGGGGCATACGTGGTGAAGGGCCTAGCCCGGGGCATTGGCCCCAGAAGCCTTTGCTCCCTGGGTTCCCCACTGCCAGCCCCCCACCCGCAGGTTTGATAAAGTGATGGGCTTGCTGGAGTCTGGTGAAGCCAGGCGGGGTCCGGCACTCACAGGGTCTAGCCGGCCTTGGCCGCGTCCCAGAGTGGGGCTCTTGCTGTCACCGCTATCGCTGGGCCACTCAGGATTTGGGACAGGAAGCGGCCATCAGATGGCCCTTTTTGTCACGGGTGGCTGGACCGAGACTGACCCAGGTGAGGACAAAGCCCACCAGCTGGGATTGGGCCTGAGCAGGGCCCCAGGGGAGCAAAGTCCCCGCAGGTGGGTGCCCCCATCCTGGGGCGAGGGTGAAGATGGGGGGCAGTGTGCTCCCTGCAGCTCAGATGCATGAGGTGATGGAGAGGCAGCCCCCAGCTCCTCGCCTGGGACAGAGCCCCCCCTCCTACTCCTCTGACGCCCATCACTATAGGAAGAGCCACAGTCCTGGGACTCCCGGCCCTCAGCCCTGGCCTGACCCTGACCCTGACCCAGCCCAGCCCAGTCGTTCCTGGGCAAGGTGACCAGGGTGGGGGACACTGGTTTCCACACCGCTGGCCCTCTGTCGGGGTTCCTACCCTGGACACAGCCAAGGCCCCGAAGCAGGTGACCCACGGATCTGCTGGGGTCACTCGGTGCTGGCCAGCGGGACCTGGGGGGCTGCCCCCCAACTGCCCTGCTCCTCCATGAGGCTGCAGGCGGGGTCTCTGTCCAGGGGAGGCCAGGCTGGGCTAAGGTGGGAAAGGAGGCAGTTTCACGGCTCTTCTCAAGTGGGGCTCCATGGGGCTGTGTTCTCCCTCCAGGATGAGGAGGTCAGCAAGGACTGTCCTCCCTTCCTGGTGCCCTCCAGGGACTGTAGTGGGGACACACCCCAATTCCACCCTCCCAACGGGGGGGCACTCCCACCCAGCAGTCAGCACCTGCACCCCACACGCCAGGCCCCTGCACCTCCTCCCCCAGGGAGAGGCCCCTCCCGGTGGCCCTGAGTACCCGGCCGGCCACTCCAAGGCACCGACAGCCAGAGCCGGCCGAGCCCGCGTCTCAGGGCCTTCGTCCGTTTGTTCAGTCCTTCAAAACCCAGACCCCAGAGTGGGAGGAGGTGTGGTTACCCCACTTTGAGGATGACTCAGGTGGGAGGCACCCAGCCGGGCTGGGACCCCAGACTCGGGGAGAAGGTGTCCCACCCATGTGTGGCCCGAAGCCACCTCAGGTCCCTCCTCTGGGAAACAGTGACCACAGGACCAGCTGCTCAGAGACATGAGTCAGCCAGGCATCCTCTGAGCTTCATCTGGACCCCAGAAGTGCCCCTACTGCCCCCGTGGGGCCCACCACCCCACCCCGCCCCCCGAGACTTGGGCCGAGTCGGACCCTTGCAGAGTTCCTGCTGCCAAATCCCTGAAACGGCCTGATGACCCCGCACTGTGTCATTTCTTGGACTTTTGCACATTTAATGAGTGTGGTCTCTTGGCCCCCCGACTACATCAGATCTTGCACCGTGGCCCCGCCCGCACCATGCCTGCCACAGAGGACGGCCCGAGGGTCGCGGGTGTGGCCCCGCCAGCCCCCACCCAGCCCGCAGGTGAGGAGCTTGCTGGCGTCACAGATAGGGAAATGGGCATTTGTGGAAGGCTTACTGTGCGTCCGGGTGATAGGGAGTGATTTCTCAACTGGGACAGGCCACAACCCTCATAACCGCGGGGAGGAAGTGGGAAGTGGGCTGGGCTCTGGGGGCCACTGATAGTGGAGGCTGGATTATCTATGGGTGCTGTTGACACAAAGGGCAGGTGCGGCCAGGAGCTTCCTTGATAAGGACAAAGACAACCCGATCCCTTCCTGCTTCGCCATGGGGCCCGGGAGAGCCAAGCAGCGGTGCCGACAGCTGGGGTCAGCCTCCTAGCCTGAGGGGCCGAGACCCTCACTGCCCGATGGGTCGGCGGTCAGGGGTGTGCTCTCCCGTGAGAGAGAAAGGGAGTGGAGAGTAAATTTGGTTTTATGGCGGGGCTACACTGATTTGGAACCTTCGTGTGCGTATTTATTTATGTGAATCACTGGACAAACAGAATTCCTCCGGAGAGCTGGCTGGCTGCTGAGCCCTGGCCCCCAAGGTCCACTGTCTGGTCGAAGGGACAGTTCCCCCCGCGCCCTGCCCCCACCCCATCCACAGAGGGCCCCACCCCTGCCCCATCACCCCAAGGGTCTGTGACGTGGGGAGCGGGCACTGTCCGCTGGGGCTGATCCCTGAAGGTGAGCACGTTTGTGTCCTAGGGGTCAGGGAGTGGCTCACAGGCTACCCCTCCTCTGCCCCCAAGGGGCCACCAGCCCCACCAAGCAGCCTCGTCCACAGTGCCATTTCCCCACTGGGCTCAGGGACCTGCCAGACCACTTGATCACCAGGAAGGGGGGACAGAATGCACTGTTATCCACACGTCCCTCACTGCGGCTCCCCATGGCACATGGACCATGGGTCAGTCCCTCTGACGTCAGCACCACAGGGGTGTGTGGGAGGTGGAGGGTCTGTCTAATACTATCAACAAATTTAAAAGGTAT